GTGAAAAGTTTGTATTTTCACTAGCCCTTGGTTACTAGTGGTGTTGTTGGCCACCAGCAAAAACCAATTTTCACCGCCGGTGTAAACCCATTTTGTAGTAGTGATTAGGCACTGTGCTCCCCTTTTGGGGTGTTATTGAGCTGCCACCTCTTCCTCCCTGGCATGACTATCCTGGTAAATACTTAGTCCAAGGATGGACAAGCGACGGTGGTGCCTTCAGCTCATGACCTCCCTGGAGGCACCACCGTCTAGGAGGTCTCGTTTCCTTGCCTTTATTACATTTTCTCAGCTTGGTTTTCACTGTCTCTCGGTTATTGTCATCAGGCCGGCTTGAGGATGAGCGGATTTTTCTCTCTTGCGCTCACCCTCCTCAATACTTCTCCGTGAGGATGGACGGTCTGATTCTTGGAGTTGCCTCCCTCTTGCCTTCTAGTATTCTGTGAGAGAAGTTGCTTGCGCAACTCCTCTTTCTCAGATTAGCTTTGTGGTTCTTCCCCTAGGCTCCCCTTTCTCCTTCCGCCCCTCTCTGCCCTTGTTCATCTGGATTTGCTCGTTGTGCGGTTGAGCAAGAATGGTGATCCATCACCACTTCAGCAATCGATTGATCTCTAATCTATGAACTCGCTAGACCCTAGCTGTAGCTTAAGCGCTTTTCCCCCTTAAAACGAGATTTGAAGGGTGAGACATCCCTCCAAACATTTTTTAAAAAGAAATTGTGAGCGTGCTGTGGATTGAACATAGGACCTTGAGATTAAAACTACACATCCCTTGTCGCTGCAATCAAGTGTATCTCCCCTTACCCATTAACCACCTGGGAGAATCTAGAGCAGTGTGGACTTGACTTACTTGACCGTGGGGCAAAGTCCTCCAGAAAAAGCCATATGGCTGGCGGCTGGGTATCACAATAAAGCATCCAAGAAATAACCATTTGAATCACGTGTTGGTGGCATCATCATCGTAATTGGATAGTTGCATTTATTTATTTATTGCCTCAACTACCTAGGATATATAAAATGTGTCGTGTAGATATATGCGCGCCAATCCATAGGTGGATTAAGAAATTAACCAAATGCCATTTAATTTAGCACTCCATGACAACGATCTAGATCTGATCATCTTCCCTATCGCTCGCCTTGGTAGCTTGATGTAGTCTGATGAGTTGACCGCTCATCAGTCATCACTGTGTGGCATAACTGTCTACTCTAAGGGCTCTCCATTGAAATACATGATTAAAAAAATAAGAATAGAGAAAAACACAGGATATTACATAAATACAAATCCACAGTAGAGGACTGTAAAACTTTATATGAATCTGATTTGCAAAACATAAGAATAATATAGGAATGGTTGTTTGAATAAACTGCAGATAAGAATTGGATGAAAAAATAGACTTGAATGAAAATTTCTAAGATGTTGGAGCTCTTGCTACCATTCCTTAAAAATCTCTATAGATTATTCATTACATAGAAACTTGAATTTTGAAAGAAAAGGATATGATTCTATCATTTGTTTTAAGGGTTAATTGTATCCATGACATTACAACTTCTTTGATTTTAAAAATTATCATTATCATCCATCTATTTGGAGACATGTCATTACAGTTTGATAAAAATTAATGATATAACATTACATACCCCTTCAATGTATTTATATAAAAAAAATAGACCAAATTACCGCTGCTTTTACCTTCACCACTTCTTCCTTCTCCCTCTCTCCTCTCTTAACCAAGATCCAAATAATGAGGCCACGACCACTGGTGACGGAGCTAGTGGCGGTGTGGTTACCTAGAAGGGGCAAGTCCTTAGGGCAGTCCCAACCCATAGTGTCCATAAGCGGTGTCTATAGTGCCAAATCAATAAGACATCATAAAAAAAACTACACTTTACAACCTATGGTTTTTTAGAGTGGGCAATTAATAAATACATCATCTCTCTTCTCTAGCAATCATATTTATTCTTCATCTATTATGAAGACACTATTATCTGCCAATGCAAAACTTGATAGTGTCTAGTGCATAGGTTCTCGTGTTGAAGGTGTGTCTTGCATAAGACCCAGTTTCTTCCTCTCTTCACTCTCTCTCTTAATTAATATATATAGTGCCACATAAGCTAAAAGTCCTACATTGCAATGTAGTTAATGCCATAGATACCATCCTAGGTGGAGGGTTGGGACTACCCTTAGTGTCCGGTGGGAATCGGAGCTTCTCACACCGACTGTGCTGCAGCACAGTGGATGAGCTGTGCGACGTACTGGCTGTCATGCCCCGAAACCCCGCCTCCCACGCACCAATGGAGGTAGCCAGGCTGGCGGGTTCGATGGGGATTGGACCGGTGGAAGAGATGTCATATTAGAGAGAAGGAGAAGGAAGGAGGAGATAATTTGGTCTAATTTTTATTATAAATATACTGAAGAGGTATATAGTGATATATTTTCAATCTCTGACAAATTGTAATGACATGTCTCCAAATAGACAAATAGTAATAGTATTTTTCAAAATCGAAGAAGTTGTAATGGCATGGATCCAATTAACCCTTGTTTTAAAGGCATTCCTATAAATTTTTTCTATAGGATTAAAATCCTCCGAGTTTACCATGTCTTTCTACAAATCAAAGTGGCCACCTAAGAGGTTTTTTAATTAAACCCGGTTATTTGTAGTTTAAACGATTCAATGATGTGAAGCAATGGTTATATTGAGAACAATTATGTCCTTAGATAAATCATTTTGTTTATACTTTGGATTGAATATAAATATTTAAATTGTTTTAATTTAGTATATAGACTTGTTCATATACAAGGTGAGTCTCAGAACTAAATAAGTATCAAATGGGGGCACGGAGGCACCTTTTAGACCAAGTAAAGTAAAGGTTTAAATGGTACTGATTAGATAACAAGGTGAAAGAGATAAGTGAGAAGAAAGATGATGAGCCACCTCTTATATAAGAGATAACAACTACATAAACCTTAAGAAAAATGTAGAGAGAGAGAGCACGAGATAGTGTAAGAGTAATTCAACAAAAGAAAATAATTAGGATTTACTCCCTACGTCCCAAAATATAAGGGATTATATACTCCTTTCAAAAATATAAGAGAAATCCCTTATATTTTAGGATGGAGGAATTAGAAGTATATATTAGAGATAATACGTTATTCTATATGTTGCCTCTTAATTGATGAGTAAACTAGTAACAATCTCTCTATATAAAACTCGCTCTTAAAATATTCATACTGTAAAAGATGCTAGGAAGCATGTGAACGGCGCGCTCTGACTACAATAGCTCGTCCGTCGTCGAAGTCACATAATCAATGGCACAAAACGGAGGTTGGCAGTAGTATAGACTCACATCCCGTGCGGAGAAGAATTCACCGCCACCCAGCTAGCTAGCAACTCCCTCCCCCTAATTAACTGAAAACCACCACTCCAAGCAGCCGCCGATCGAGCACCCAGCCGGCGGAAGAAGCAGGTGGGGGGCCATCAGCCATGACTGAGCTCGCGCCTGGCGCCGTGAGCGCACTGCTGGTGGTCATCCGCAACGAGGCGGTGCTGCTTCGCGGCGTCCGGGACGACGTGCAGACCATCAAGGAGGAGATGGAGAGCATGGACAGCTTCCTGGCGCACCTGGCCAGGAGCGCCCCGCCCGGCGGCGAGCACAACGAGCAGGTGCGCACGTGGATGAACCAGGTACGGCTGCTCGCCCAGGACTGCAAAAATTGCATCGACCTCTACCTCTACTACAGCGGGAACAAGGACATCTACCGTGCCAAGGGCAGACTCCAGCGCGGCCTTTGGTGGGTTTACTGGTCCATGCGCAAGATGGTCGCGCAGCACCGCGCGGCCGTCCAGCTAAGCCAGCTCAAGGACCGGGCGCGGGGCGTCGGCGACCGACGGCTGAGGTACGGCGTGGAGGTTCCAGCCACGACCAAGGCTGCAGCTGCACCTGATGCAGCAGGTGGCTTTGCTGCTGGAGACGATGGAGGAGAAGACTGTGAAGATCAACTTGCTGTGGCAACGGTGATCCATCATTCTGCTCGAAGGGCCGTCTTTGAGGCCCCTACTTTGGACGACTACCTGAAGGCAAAACTATTGGAGTGGATAGAAGAAATTCCTGGAGGAGCCACCGAGACGTTGTCCATGGCCATTGTTGTACCAAATGCACATAATAAGGAAGTCATTGCTCTTGCACATGAAACTTTGGTTGCTCCAAACTACTACCGTCGCAGTATCATTGTCAACGTACCGGCCATGCACCTGGATTCTTTACCTCTACGACCCAAGGAGGTTCTCTACTACATCTTGCAGGAGCTCATGCGTGCCAAAGTGGCCGGATCACAGAAGCAGGCCACTGATCAAGGACAATGGGAGGAGGATCCTGACCCTTGGAAAGATTACGTGAAAAAATGTGGTAATCACCGTAGCAAAAAAAGGATGCTCCGTAAAATTAAAAGGAAAATAGAAAAGATGAAAATTTATGAAAAGTTTGAGAAGATTAAGAGTGATATTCAAGATGGACAGCAGAAGGGCGATAAGACGCTGCTGCTTCAGCTACAGAAGAAGGGTGTGCATCGGGTGGACCTGCATGTACTCCTTCAGCTGTTGCTGTTCCAGTCTCAGCAAGACCAAGCGTCAGCAGTAGACATGTATAAATTATCAGAGTGGAACGGCAGCATCATCATGAAAATAGCCAGGAAGCTTAAGAGACATATGGAAGCAGATGAAAAGACTAAGGAGTTTAACAAGCAAATTGGAGTAGTAGAAGAAATAACCAAGCAAGGAGGAGAGAGGAAGGAGGAGGAGAAAAATGAAGGGGAAGAAGAAAACGGAGAAGAAGAGGGGAAGGAGAAGGAACTCAAGGGGAGGAAGGACAAGGAGAAAAAGGAGAAAGGAGGACGAGAAGAGAGGAAGGAGGAGGAGCATCACGAGAAGCAGGAAAAGGAGAAAGAAGAAGAGAGGAAGGAGGAGGGGCAAAACGAGGAGAAAGAAGGAAGAAAAGAAGTAGGAGAGGAGGAAAAAGAAGACGATGATGATGATTATGATGATGATGATGACTACGACGATGATGATTATGATGATAATGAAGAAGAAAAAAAATATGATGATGATGATGATGACGACGACGACGACGATGACCCTATTCATCTTCATACAGCTCAATACATGCAAATCCTACAAGAAGTGTTCCTAAAGACCATCAGCTGCAAGGCCCAGCAGCAAGAAAGATTGGCGGCCAAGCAAGCTACAAAGACTGCAACGACTACATTGGACGAGGAACGAATCAAACAAATGATCAACGAGGCAAAACAAGATATCTTAAGGGAGCTGCAGGGAGGCAAACCTGATAAGAATCAAGCAACAGGTGAGCATACAAGTGTTTCAGATCAAAACGAACAGGCTTATTTTGAAGAGATAGAGCAGATGATCGAAGAATTCAAGCGAAAACTTAAAGATCAGCTGAAAATAAAAGGGGTCGTGGACAAGATCAAACATCACTTACAGGGTGAGTGCCCCCTTATTATTCTAAAAGTTGACAAGATGATGGATGGATCCAGATGGGAGGAGATAAGAAAGGCTTTGAGCCTGTTAGAATGCAGTGCCGATGCACTGATCTTCACCACAGAGAGCACCGAACAGGCTAAAGGATATTGCTATCCACCAAGAGAACCTATAGACTATTCTCTTGTTGGTTTATACCATTATACAGTGCTTGAGATAACTAGCAAGCAGATAAATGAAGACAACTATAACCCCCAGATTTTTCGTGACATCTTGGAGAAGTGTGAGGGGCATGAATTCTGCATGAAGATCTTCACTCATGCTCTCTATGCTAACCCCAAGAGGAGCAATAAAGAGTTAAGCAAGCTACACAGCACCTTGCAGGCTTCACATAAATCACTTGACGCCATAGCTAAGACGATGTTCATGTACTCTTACAATGATCTGCCTAAAGAATACAAGTCCTGCTTGTTGTACCTAGCTATCTTCCCCAAGGGTGAGAAGATTAGGCGGTCAACCTTGGTTGGACGGTGGGTTGCAGAAGGGTTGACATTCAGGGAAGATTGGCCCAGTTCAGTGCGTCAGGCTAACCGATGTTTTGATGCCCTCATCTGTCGATGGCTTGTTTGTCCTGCTGATATTGGTGCCACAGGAAAGATCAAGAGCTGTGTGGTAGGTGATCCAGTTCATGGGTTCATTACCACAATTGCCAAAAAACAACACATTATGCATACACGCCTATCACATCACTTGGCTCGTCATTTCTCCATTTTCAATGATCTCCAAGTCCGTAGCTCTGATAGAATTGACACATTCTTCCAAAACCTCTCACGATCATCTCAAGTATCCCTACTTAAGGTGCTAGATCTAGAAAGTTGTCAGTGCTTTGGTGGCAAGAACCAGCGGTACCTCAAGGACATCTGCAGCAAGATGTTACTGCTCAAGTATCTGAGCCTAAAGGGAACAGATATTACCCAGCTGCCCAGTGAAATCAACTATCTCAGTGAGCTAGAGGTATTGGATATCCGAGAAACCAAGGTGCCTGCAAATGCAACAGTTAAAGTCCTGCTCTTGAAGTTGAAGCGTCTACTTGCTGGTCACATTGATCCAAGTCCAAGTAATTTTGGCAGTAGTGTTCGGATTCCTCGCAGGATAGACAAGATGATAAACATAGAGGTATTATCTAATGTCAAGGCCCAACGCCATGATGATTTGGAAGATATTGGAAAGCTATGGCAGCTGAAGAAGCTAGGTGTGGTTATTGATAAGAAAAGTCACCTTGTGAATTTGCTTAAAGCAATCAGTGACCTACATGAGTGCCTGCTTTCTCTGTCAATCACTATTCCCACAGCCACACCCGAGGGTTCTCCTTCAATCCTAGAGTTACCAGATGATATTGGCTCTTGCCTAAGACACCATGCCAATATTCTTGAGAGTCTAAGCATCAGCGGAGCCATGCATCTTTTTCCATTATTGACCAAAGGTGGCAATAACAAGCTTGCCAAGGTAACTCTATGTAGCACACCACTGAACCAAGATGATCTGGAGGTCCTCGCCAAGCTACCCAAGTTACAGTGTGTTAGGCTCCAACACATTTCATGCACAGGGAGCGTGCTCATCTTCAAGGAAGATGATTTCAAATGTCTCAAGTACCTTCTTATTGAGGGTTTTAACTTGACTAATGTCACTTTTGAGGATGGATCAGCCTGTGAGCTCGAGAAGATGGTTTTATCTTCCACCACCATAGAGTCTATCTCTGGAGTTGATGGGCTTCCAAAATTCGAAGAGCTTGAGTTGAACAACAGCCCTGTCCCGAATGAGGTGAAAGAAGCCATTGAAAACAATAAACGGATAAATCTTAAATGTAATGAACCATGAACTCAAGACCAGGCAAAACGGAGATGAACAAGAGGATGAAGACAATGCTGCAACATCCTCATTCTGCTGGAAGAAACAGGTTTGTCGCCAGAGGTGCATATCTCCTTTGATCCTATGGTGTGGTTTGTGCGTGCTAGTGTGGATTGCCATCCGCTGCTTGTCTGTTTTATTTCTTTCTGCTGTGCGTGTCTTTATGTTCTGCATGATGTAATAATTCTTGCTGTACCCTGTTTTTTCTTCCTTACTGTGTTTTGCTTATTTTCCTAGTTCGAGTCAGTGTAAGCTCGAGGCTTGCTTGTTCAAGCCGGAGCGAGTCCTTAGCAAGTTGGCACGACATGCACTGGCGTGTGGGATGGCACACGATTCAGCGGGCATGGTGGCCAAGTTAGTTGTGTCGTTGGTGCGGCACGCCCCGACGTGCGCCATCCCGCCCCGACGTGCGGGATGGCGCACGAAGTGGACGGGCGAGGTGCGCGTAGTGGCATCAAGGCCACAATTTCGTTTGTGTCTTGTGTATTTAAGTTTCAATACAATCCAGAAAATGCTGCCACTTGACAGCACCAAAAAAATCTCTTCCTTTTTGAGTTCTTCATCAAGTTCAGAGCAAGTTCGTTTGTTTGGTTTGTTTCTAACACTCCATGTGTTTCAACTGAGTGTGTCGGGTTACTTGCTATGCATAAGTGCCTTGTGCCTCTAATTGAGCTAAAATGGTTGTGTCTATGCTCGGATTTGAATGTGTGGTTTTCATTTATCGAACACCATATGCATTCATGTACATTTTCGTGTAATTAATATGATGTGTGCTATATTATACAGTATTCTTATTCCTGAAAAAGGAACATTATGCAACATGCTTGACTGGATTCTGCAACTCAACGATGAACTGGGTAAATTAGGGAAGCAGAGTTTTATGCAGATTAAGTATGCATGATCCACCAGGCGCAAACTGTCTGCACCTTCTGATTGAAGTGCCAGCGGTAGCTCTCGAGGAAAACAGAAGTTGTTTTCAGTCGTATGCTGCCGTGCATTTGGTCAATCCGTGTGGTTTCTCCCCGTTGTTTGCTGATAGAGAAGTCAGTATGGTTCAGAAATTAATCTACCCTATAGTTCACAATTTAGCAAGCTGCATGCCTTGATTGATGGGGAGGCCAGTTCTTCAGACAAAAGGAATGATTTGTGCAGGAGGACAGCCTCAACCGAGCATTTAGCTAGCGAAGCAGTGGATTTATGCATGTATGCATGCATACCGGAGCTATAATAGCGAGCAGGAATAATTTTCAAGCAGTGAGACTACCGAGTGGCAATTACCTTGCATCAATGGTTGTCTTGGCACGGTCGACAATGTCGAGGAACTGGAGGCTTGGGTTGTTGGAGACGCACGTCCTCCACCATGTGTTCACCATTGAGTCGATGAGCACCCAGCCATTACAGCCCTGAACGGTGTTTAAGGTGTTATGTGTAATCAGCTACAAGTACTCGCTCTCCTCTGCTCCGGAATAGACGTTCCAGAATAGGGACCTGACCTCCTTTATATAGATGAGAACTCGACAGTGATGCTTCTTTCTTCACCTTTCCTTCCATGACCACTTTGATCTGAGTTCCTCCCATTCTCTCCGCCAATGAGGGTCTCTGTTGCGCCTCGCCCCCACCCTGCCTTCCTCCTCCCATCTCCAGCGGCTCTGGCTTTACACTTCCTGCTGCACTAACCCAATGAGCTGCGATGCCCCTGCCCCAACACTGCTCACACGATGGTTGACATGATGCTAGCTATAGTTTAAGAGGTTTCCTTATTAGAACCATTTATAAAGATATAACAAGATTGGAAGCAAGCAATAGTCAAACTGCCATCCTAACTGGAGTGTAATTCACTAGTAGGCTAGTAGATGCTAGATACTAGCTACAATAATTTAGTAACAGGGCCAAGTACAACATGACATCATAACCAACCATGGGTCAGCTTAAGCATGGCTCAAGTCAGAAATGCAAAATATCCCAAAAGAATTTGAGAAGGTAACTATCAGGATTTCACTACAACATAGAAGAACAGCTTTGATTGTCAGGTAGCCAAACAGAATAAAAAAAAGGGGAAATTACAAAGTATACAAATGAAGTACAAATGGAACAATGGATACTACAAAAACTATAGTAGATAAGTAGTTCATCATGTGCCCAGTCATCATGTGTTGAGTGTTGACAAGAAGCAGAAAGGAGTAGCAAGGAGATGAAACTGCAGATTATATGTATAGTTACTACAAATTTTATAATTTTCAGTGCAAAAAGAACATTTATATTATCTGAGCCCAAGAGATTCTTTGCATCTGTGTTTGCAAAATTTATACATCAATTTTCAAGTAAAAAAAAAAAGACAAGCTCCTACACTTTCAGAAGAACCAATAGCCATGTCTCTCCTAGACCCCCCCCCCCCACCACCACCACCCTTAGTTTAAATGGGGAATAGTATGGTATGATGTTCTATGCACATATACAAAGAGAAGAACAAGGTCACATGATGAAAGTCGTTCAGTAAATAATGTAGCATCTCATGGCTATCGAACCTTCTTAATCAAGGTATCCAAAAATACAGAAAACTACGGTTCATCAACCTAAGATGACAGAACTAAAGTCTAGCAACCTAACATGACAGACTTAAAGTTTAGAAACACTTTAAATATTTACTCCACATGAAACGCTGAGAAATCACCCATACTTGACAATTTTCAAGAGAATTCCAACAGAGAGTACAAACTCACTGTTACTGTCAAAACCCAAAGTTGACGCCTAGTGATTTAACTGAGCTCCCTTTTCTTTTGTGAGGAACTAAAGCTCCATTTTAACCCATAGCACTAGTTAGGAATCTTCAACAAGACCACTAATAACAGGGAACCAAGTCCACAGGATGATCAACACATTAGTCCATAGATCAGTATAAACATCAGATTTCCATGATCCCAAAGTACACAATCAGTTGTTGGCTGCAGGGCAGGAGTTACATTGCCAATATCTACAGCAAGGAGCTCCTCTGATCTTCACCGTTAAACAATTTACTCTTAACACATTAATTAAGGGTGGTAAACTACTTAACCACTGAAGACATCATGATTGCTAGTTTACTACAAAAGGGCAGCGCCTAATGTAGCAATTTCCAATCCCAATTCACATAACTTAAATGCAACCACATTATAGAGTTAATCTCGGATAGCAAACTCTACTGATTATTCAAAGCTATGAAGGATCATTCTAAAGCAGAAATATGGAAGACGGCATCCAATCCACTCATCAAACGTCACTAATTTCACCATAGAACCTACAAAAACGACATTTCTCACCAAGCAATGCACGCTAGTAAATCATCACAAGCTCAAAATTAGGATCAGGAAACCAAGCTGACTAAATCGGTCATTGCGAGGGCACCCTTCTAGTTCTAAACTAACTCAATTCCTCTAAACCAAGCTGACTCAATTCCTCATCAGTCATCACAAAAATCTATGAGATGCGGAGCAATTAAATTGGCACAAAAAAAAAAGGCGAGACGCCTCACCTCGGGGAGCCACCGGTCGTCCTCGGCGTCGGCGATCGCAAAGCCGGTCCACCCGCCGGCGCCGTCCTCGAGCTCGCGTACGAGCCCCTGCAGCGACGCGCACTGGCGGAGCCGCGGGGAGTAGAACTCCAGCACGGCCGCGTCCCTCCCGCTCGCCAGCGCCCGCTGCTCCGCCTCTGCAGCCAATCCGGGGCTCCTCCTCCTCCTCCTCCTCCTCCTCCTCCTCCTCACCCCCACCACCGCCTCCTCCGTCCGATGAGTGGGAGGGGAGGTCCCCGGCGACGAGGCGGCCCTGCGCCGATGTGCGGATGGACTTGAAGAGCCAGGGGAGCTCGAGGTCGCCGCAAGGCCATGGCCACTTGAAGCAGACGAAGGAGGGTGGGCTTGGCGGCGGCGGCCATCTCTCCGGCGAGAGAAGCGGTGGTAGCGCCGGCGAGGCGGCGGTGGCGGATTGGTCGAGGACGTGGGGATGAATGGACGGCGCAGCGCGAGATATTGAATTCGATCCAACGGCTACAACTCGCTGAGAGAAAATGGACATTTTGGCCACGTTGAAGACTGAGTTTCGCTATTATACCATCATCAAAACATGATTCGATAAAGAGCCATTTTCAAGTACAGACTCGCCACAATTGTGTCATTTTTGCTGTTTTAGTGATTTCCGAAATGATTTTCGCTCGGTTGTGTGGTGATGAGATAAAGATGTCCTTGCTCACCGGCGAGAACTCCCCGAAGCCAGTCACTGATGGTAATCGTCGTCCATGAGGACAGCCTTCAGCTCCGGCGGCACACGCATCCCCCACTGCAACCGCAGGCTTGCCTTGCTCCACAATGGCAACATGCTCCTGGTCATGAGGCGCATCCCGGACAGCATGGCGCTGGCCCAGCCGCCGCTCTTCCCCGTGGCGGCCATGTTTGCCGCGCCCCGTGGTCGTCGTCATTGACGAGCGAGAAGTAGCCAATACCGAGGCCAGTGCGGACGGAGAGGGTGGAGAGGGTGAAGGGATGGAGCTAGCCATTAGGGTGGTACGGTGGTACGAGAGACGGAGCGCCGGTCTGGAGGCGAAGGTAGAGATCCAACGCAGGCATCGCCACGGCGCCGTCGAAGGCAAAGGCATCTCCCATGCAGGCATTGTATCTCCACTACCACGTTGTGGAGGTAGTTATCGATGGGTCCAGCTATGCCGTCGGCCTTGGTGGTTCGCCGCACGCACCCATGATCACAGTCGCCACCGGGGGAGTTCAATTCCGTGCGACGCACGCGACCATGACTAGATGAGAAGCGTGGTCGCGCGGGGACGCCATCGCAGAGGTTCGGTGGAAGGAGTCGGTCGGGGACAATGTGTTCCGCCTCGTGGCCGAGCCCCACCTAGGCGCACCGCTGGCCAATGGGCATCATCATCGCCATGACGCCATCAACGAGATGTAAAGAGATCGATTGAGCTCGCTGCAAGGGGATAACAAGCTCGGGGTCCCACCTGCCACTAGGGGCATAAGGCATTTCCGTCCCATCACCCCGCAGCTGGGCAAATTTCGTTTTGGAAACGGGCAAAATTCATTTTGGAAACGAATAAATCAGTGAAAATGGCACTTTGGCTAATAAAGCATGCTCGAAAATGGCATTTTATTGAATCACATTTTGAGGATGGTATAATAATGAAACCCAGTTTTGAATATGGACAAATGTTCGGCGCTCACTGGACGCGGCCTCTACTTTTACAATATTTTCAAAAAAAAAACCCCAATGTAGTAAACATTTACGTATATGGGTCGCTTCTCGCTACCATTTGGCAGCGATCTGAATAATAATATTTTCATAAAACCCCCTAACATAGACCGCTGCCAAGTGTGCTAGCTGTCACGCCTTTTTTTTTTCTGAAATGAACC